TCCAATTGTACAACTTATGTTAACTCTTAACTGAGATTCAAACTTATTCATTGTCTTTTTTCAATTCTAGAATTGGAAAGAAATGAGAAACAAGTTGAATCTTAGTTAAGAATTAACTGTGAGTGGAACTGGACCTAAAACAAGGGATACTTTCCATTTTCACACTTACATGCAGTATCATTTCAATCATTTATTATCTAGCAAATATTAAACAAGGATAAATGCACTTTAAGCACAATAAGCCCAAAAGACTCATAATATTACCATTTGAAAATTCGAAAATTTTTAGTATATATATATATAAAAAAATTTATAAATTCATCAACATATTTTCAACTTTCTAGAATAAATAATGAAACTTAATTTTGGAAAATAATAAAATGTAGTATAATTACTGAAAGATTTAGAAACTTGTACAAACAAGAATTATACTACATTTTATTATTTTCTAAAATTAAATTTCATTATTTATTCTAGAAAGTTGAAAATATGTTGATGAATTTGTAGAAATTTTTTAAACCATTCTGAACACGTGAAAAAACAGACAGATTCTATTATGATCCAAATTTGAATGGATGAGGCACTAAATCATATCTTGTAAAGATTAATCTTTTATTTATATTTTCAGTTTCTAATCAACAGGAAGTTCTTATTGATTCACAAATGATGACATCATCTTCTAAAGTTCTAAAAACCTGTACTGTATCATTGACAAAGAGAATGCGTGACTATGATCATATCGATTTTTCACGAAAATTGGTAATTTGCTAAAAATTATATAATTATATGCTTATATTTATTTGTCTATTGCTTATTTCTACTAATGTAATTCAATTTTAATCTCAGTTTAACTCTATTTTTTTTTATTTTTGAACATTAGAAAAAGTTGAAGAGTAAATTGAAAACTGAGATTAAAGTTAATCTACGCTAGTAAAAATGGATATGTAACTATATTACAACATACACTACTAGTACTGAAAATTTAGGCTTATTCTACAATAAGCCATTAATAAGTCAAAAATCAGATAGAAATTGACACACACATTACACAAATTACAATTAAATATGAAAAGAATAATTGACTATGGTAAATCAGTTTCTAGCTTCTTCTGATTTATTACTAATAGCTTATTGTAAAATGTGTGTATAGTATATGTAACATGAATTATAGATTTTCAGTACTGGCAATGTATATTAGAACATGATCTATATTGAAATTGCTAACAAAATATCACATGTTATTATTTCTAAATATCTTTACTATTTTTTATTATTTTTATTATTTTTCTATATCAAGTAGCTCTTATTGCTTATTGGTACTTTCCTAGTGACAAAATGACAAAGTGATGATATCATCTTTGATATTGGCAAACAACAAGAATATAATAATTCACTGTGTTATACTGTGTCTATGTCTCTTGTTAGAAAGCATTCTACATCTATATTTTATTTAGGTAAAATATTTGCAAGAAGCATCGGAAGAATCACAATCTCCAAACTGGTCACTTTTAGAAAGACGAGTAACAAAATTGTTTAAAAGGATTGCTAATAGTAGCACATTATTAGGTCTGTTTAACTATTGGTATTATAAAAGAATTTATATTGCAATTAATTTTGTAGATATATATATATATTTTTTTTTTCTTTTTAAATATTTTTTTGGGCATTGTTAAGTAATTTTAAGTCCATATATTTCTGTCCATAGTTTTCTATATTCATATAAGTCCATATGCTTTCTATATTCAAGAATTTAGCCAAATTTTTGTTATTATTTCAGGTACTTTGGATCCTTTGGAGAAGAAGACAATAGTTAGGAAAAAACCTGAACAGAAAATAGTATCGCAAGTTGCACAGTTGACAATACCTGATAAACTGGTGCCAAATGCAAAAACGAAGGATGAAGACAGTGTGGAACGTACTGTGAGGAAGATTAAAAAGTTAATCACATGTCATTGTAAAGAAACAGGGAAACCACTTGATTTTTTTCAACTGATTCTGCATCCCGATGATTTCGGAAGAACTATTAGAAATATGTTGTACGTATCGTTTCTTGTAAAAGATGGAGTAATGAAATTGAGAAAAGGTATCTTTTTTTTTTTTTTTTCAAGTAAAGTCACTTTCTTATTTATTATATAAATTTAATGATCGTTTTTATCTTAGATCATATAAATCTTGTTGTGGAACCATGTCACAAGGAAATAAATTCACAACAAAAACAATCTACCAATAAAATGGGCACTCAGAATATCATATCATTAAATATGGAACAATGGAGAGTAAGTTGAATCCTCAAAAAGTTCTTTATAATGGTTTTTTAATCTTATCGGATTTCAATTTTAATAGACAAGATTTTTTACTACTTTTACGGTTTCATATATATAAAAGAAATTTTATAAACTTTTTTTTTACATATGATATATTCTATGATTAATTAAGTTGAAGATATATTAAGCGTATTAAAATTGTAGAAAAAATACAAAATTATAAAAATTCGTAAATTTTTTTTAGATATTAAAAAAGGCATACCGAGTGGAACAACCAATGATTAATTTTGACGAAGAAAATTGATTATGAACATATTTTTTTCTTACCAATACAAAAAAAGAATATTTTGTTAAATTTACTTTTATATTTATGATATTGCATTAGATTTTCAATAATATATTTTATTTTTCACTGCTTAAATTGAAAATTATTGGAAGATATATTTCGTATATGCAAAATATCGCATAATGAACATTGGTTTTTTTAAAATTTTATTAATATATCTAACATATACATCATGATTACTGACACTACACACATACAGGTATATGATATTAATTAGTGACATGTTCATATTAATCACATCTACAGAGAAAGTCTAGAAGTAGTATATGTTAATGTATATTGAATACATTCATGTCTGGTTTTCTAATAATTTTTATAAGCGCTTTTGTAGAAAGAAGATAAAATATGAAACAACCTTTGATGTTTTATCTTCTTTTTACAAAGTAAAACTTTAATAAATACAATTTATTGCAGTAATATTTCATAGTGCAACAATATTTCTTGATAAGAGTTCAATTTTTATATTTTTTTCGCTTTTCTTTTATGTTCTTAACCACTCTTAGTACTTGTCAGTTATTTCATTTAAAGAACTGTGATGGGATAAAAATGAATCGAGAATACAAATTTAATTAGAAGGCAGGATTGGCTTAAAAGACTATTTTTTTTGTTTTGACCTAGCCAGTGATCAAAACTGATTTTAATCGATCAAAATTGATTCTAATCACTAATCAAAATGTATTTTTGTTTTCAAAGGCTTTTTATTTTGATCACAAACTCGTCAGAGCCTAATATACCCGATAGTTTCTAGCTTTAATTTTTTCTTTTCTTTCTACCCTGCTGAAAGCGCTGTATTCTGATCTATTTTCATTGCTAGTGTTGAAAATCTATAGTATATATAATGTATACTATAAATTTTCAATATTGGCAGTGAATATCGGAATGTAGCCCTAATAGTGTAGTGTCAGTAATCAATGTTAGGTGAGTCACTTTTTTGTATGTGCATTCATGTATGACAACATTATAATGTCTTAAAATTTTGTTAACGTCTTCTTTTGACATTTCTATGAAAATTATATTACTTTCTTGGAAAATGAATTATAGAGTAATATAGAAATTTTAAAAAGATTTTACAGATCCTCATTACCTGCTTTAATCTTTTTGCTGCCAGAATTTTGTTGGATTCTGGCAAAACTGAAACCTCTTAAAAATATATATTATTTTATTTTATTTTTATATACAATAAGTTCGTTTTATTTCAACTTATTATTTAATATCTAATAAAATTTTTCTGAATTTTGATCTATTTTTTATTTTTTTTATCTATTTCTGATCTGGATTAGCTTAAGAACTATTAGGTGTGGGAAAAAGTTCGTGGCGTTTTTTTAATGCCATCTAACGCGGGAAAAATCTAATATGTTATAATGGCTATGTTCCAAAATTGACTGCATTGAAAATTTATAGTGCACATAACGTAAATTGTAGTATTTCAGCGCTGGCAGTAAATTTTACACAACCAAAACAATAAGGCAAAATAAAATTACTATATTTTGATCAGAAAGAGAAAGAGAGAGAGAATAGGTACCTAAAATCAATTTTGATCAAGCAATTAAAACTGCATATGTAGCTATATGTAGCGATTATATCGAACCAAATATCGATTTATCATCTCCAGTCTTGGAGATGGAAAAATGGACGATGTACCCTACGAAAAATGGACGTTGCTATGTAGTTACATCCACTTTGTTAGAGGACAGTGCGCGGTAATATTTTGCGGTTACAGGTTTTGGACCGTCATGTCCTCTCTCAGATTTCTCTTTAGTACGTGTATCAAGTATACGATGTAAACTAGGCAACTGTCGACACTGACCTAGTTTCCACCGAGAGTTTAAACCGGATCAGAATGTAGAACCAACCAACTACAGTCAAGTATTCCCCTGTTAGGAGCTCCCTAGAATTTCAACCTATCAGAAATCATGTATTGTGAAATACACAGTTTCTGATAGGTTGAAATTCTTATTCTCTGTTCCCTGTTCCTTTTCCTTGTGCAGAGCTCCTTACAGTCAAACGATAGGGGAATGCTCAACTTTAATTGGTTGGTTCTTAATTCTGATCCGGTTTAAACCCTCGGTGGAAACTAGTCCAACTGTACACACGGCTGTGATCGATTTGGACCAATTCGAAAGCTCAAGCGCTTAGACCGGATCTGCAATAGGTTTTTAAGTCTTAAACATAAAGAATGGACGAATCACAATCAATTATTTTCCTTGTATTTAACTGCAATTGGTCAATTTCTTACGGTTTAAGGTTTAAAACATCTATTGTAAATTCGGACTTAAGCGCTTGTAATCATTATTCTGTCTTTGAATACAGTCAACGCGATGCTACTTTAAAGCAATTTTTGATTGGTAAATTTTTTTTTTCTAATTGGTGAACTAAAAGCTTCAAAACATTTGTAGTGAGACTTTGATCGCAGCCTTTATCGTTCATTAGACGTAAAATAAGAATAGAACTACTAAAAAGTCCAAAGAAATGTTGAAAGCATCCAAATCGATTGCAGCCATGTTATCCCTTCCATCATGCTCTGGTGACTGGTGTGATGTAGAACTTGAGACGTTGAGACATGTATGTTTTGCAGAGCAGCGAAGATTGACGCCAACTTCGAGAAATTATGTTTTATGTGATAGGATTAGGTCTAGGTGACGCTAAGGATGTCACTGTCAAAGGATTCGAAATTATTAGGAAATGCGACCGCGTCTACCTGGAGTCTTATACCTCTGTCTTGACAGTACAGCAGGAAACCTTGGTTTGTATTATAAGATTTGTTTTTTTATTCCTGCATTAAAACCTAAACTACACTAGAATTATTTTTCGCTGTTACCAAATATTAAACATATACTTATCTTGCTTTAAATTTGAAAAGTACTAGTTCAGCCACAAAAAACAAATCCATAAACATGCTTAGACATCAAAAATGATGCAGACTTGATTTATTGTATAGAATAAAGCATTCGATTGTAAATCTTTAATTTAAAGATATATTGAAAGATATATTGTAATTTTTATGTAATGTATGTATCTTACAATTAGGAAGAATTCTATGGACGTTCCTTAATAGCAGCTGATCGTGAGTTAGTGGAGAATTGTGTAAACGAGATACTGCCAAAGAGAGAAGATGAAGATGTTGCTTTTCTGGTTGTAGGAGATCCTTTCGGAGCTACTACGCATACAGATCTGATTTTACGTGCAAAGGAGAAAGATATACAGGTGAATAGGACAGTAATATTTAGAATCATTATTTTTAGGAAATATCAGAATTATTTTACATTTTTGTATGTATCTAATAAACATAATTTTCAAGTATCATACTTTTAATCAGGTGAAAGTCATACATAATTCATCAATACTAACTGCAGTTGGTTGCTGTGGCTTGCAACTCTATTCATATGGAGAAATTGTTTCAATTCCATATTGGATGGACACTTGGCAACCGGACAGTTTTTATGAGAAGATAGCTTCCAATAGACAGAGAGGGCTACATACACTCTGTCTTTTAGACATTAAGGTTAAAGAACCTACTCTAGAAAGTATCATGAAGAAAAAAAAGGAATACATGCCTCCAAAATTCATGAGTGTCAATGAAGCTGCTAGTCAGTTGATAGCAATACTTGATAATAAGATTCAGGATGGCCACAAAGATTTAGGTTGGTGGTAACAGTTCTATTGTAATAATTTTATTGATATAATAATAGTGTGATAATCATATAAATCGTATAACAAAAAATATAGCAATTACATAATGATTATATAATCACAAATAATAATATTTAAATTAATAATATATTTATATATTATTAAATTTATATTATTTTTTCATTTAATAGCATTCACACAACAGAGCTTGGTGGTGGGTTTAGCACGAGTGGGATGTGAGGATCAACATATTATCGCTTGTTCCTTACAAAATATGATGCGTGTGAACTTGGGACCACCGCTGCATTGCCTCGTTATACCGGCTGAAAAACTCCATCCCCTTGAATTGGAATTTTTAATGCAGTACGCTTTCGACAAAGATCAATTCAAAGAAATGATACAACAATCATAATCTTTTTTTATCTTAGAAAAGAGTAATTCTATGTTTTGTACAACAACTTAAAATAAATTAAATTGTATATTAAAAAATATTAACTATTAAAAACTATTAAAAAATATATTTATCTTAAATGCAAGATGTATAACAGAAACTTGCATTCTTTTTGTTATTAATTCTTAATGAAAATATGCTGACTTTTTCTGTTTTTTTATTTTTTCGTAGAAATTAAAATCTATTGTTTATATTATATATCTTTTCTAGAAGCAAATATCAATTATATTTATATTTATTTTAACTCTTCGTGGTCACAAATGGTCACACCAGTGTCAAAATGACCTTAAAGTACATTTGCTATATTTAGTTCTCGTTTTATAAAGTATAAAAAATTTCTGATTAAATGCACTCTGAGATCATTTTGACTCCAGTGTGATTACGAAAAAATATAATTTTTCGGTACATTGGATTTTATAGATGTTATAATCTTAAAATCTAATAATAAAGAAGTTTTCGACTCCTAGGATGCATAAAACTTACATGAGCGCTGTCGCAATTGTTAAGATGGTTCTTAATGGAAGAATAATAAAAACGTAAACGAAGCTTCTAGAAGTCGAAAATTGAAATAATGGAATATAAAACACATTTTTACGTTTTGTTATTTCAATTTTTAATAGTATGATATCATATGACACATCGATTTTTATTAAATTAAAAATATATACAATATTTATCCGTAAATTTTTTTCTCTCTTATTTTACGTTTACTTACCATAAAATTTTGCATACATCAATTTTGATTACTTTAACTTCATTATATAAAAAAATTAGATATTTTGGTAACTCGATTTACTAAAGAATCACTTTAAACTTGTTCGATATTTCTGGCCGTGTAACGAGTGATCGATTGCAACCGAACCATATCATTTCGTATATGACCGTCACGAAAGGCAGAGAGAAATTGGCGACCGCGCACACCGTCTTTATGCGAATAGCATTATTATTCCATTCGTTCTGGTCCGATTCCATATTCAAAGTCATATATAATTCTGCGGAGTCACGTGGCCATGCGCCAGGGCAAACTAATCAATGGACAAGCATCGACCACTATGCCGACGAGGCTGGTATCGCATATCGGTGATTCAGTTGTGCTACAAGGGTGCATTCGCTCGGTGGTGGCAGCCCTTCCGTTTTATTTCCTTGTGCAGCAGGTACACTCAGTTTCTGGGATGTGCGAAAGACAATGATATATCTGCGTTTTACGACACTGCTCCAATTTATGTTCTCGCATGCTTTAGCAAGTATATGGATACGAGCACTGTTGTTCCGCGATGAACGTAGCACTGTGATCACGCACATGTATACTGTTACTCACTGTAAATTGTTTCTGCAAAAAGAAATATAAAGTACAATTGTAATATTTTTCTTGCAATTATTGTACCCTCGCACCTATTTTAGTTGGTATTTGAAGATATCTTTATTAGTACTAAAGTAAATAAATACGCTTTGTTATACATATAGAATGTAACCAAGATAGAGGATCAAAAATTAATATCGAATAAAAAGAAAAATGTACATATATTTAGAAATTTTTTTATTAAAAAGTTACCAATAATTCAATAGTCTTTTGTAAACATAATATAATGAATTTAAAACTTAATGAATATAGTTATATGCAATAGACAATTACTTTTTATTTATCTATAAAACTGCAATTTTTATGTATTTTTAAATCTTTCTGCTCAAAATGTTCCAAAAAATTAAAATTTTTAATAAAAACACTCTTCTATCTTTTCTTAATGAATACTTTCTCAATCAACTATTAGAAGATTGACATCTGTATTTTTAGTAATTACGCAAATTCTAAAATAATTCTATTTTTTTCATTTTAAATAAAACTTTAAATCTAGAATGCAAGAATTATACTGAAAGAATTCCTTCTTAAACAAAAAGTAATTATATTTCATGATGCATGCGATGTGTTGCAGTCAAGGGAATGCGGCAGCGAAATTCTACATATATACAAAAAATAATTGAAAATACTATACATGCAATAAAGTGGCACAATGCTAAGTCCAACTCCGACGATCGATCGTTCCAACTTGCATCCTGGCACAGGATACCTTATTGCGCCGCGGGTACCCCACGGTCTCGCGACTGTTGTCGAGGGTCTCACGAGGGAGGTCCTACGTCATCGTCCCGAGGATATATACGTTTTTGCAGCTCACCATTTTGAAAAGTTACTAAAGTTACGGGAAGAGTACCATATCGAAGAGTACAGTAATCGCGAGTTTAGCCATGAATTCAATCGCGATTTTAATCTATGGCCTACCAAAAAGACTCAAAATCTCGAAAAACCTTCAAACGACGATTGGTCTCTGGAGAAGGAGATCAAAATCTTCGAGAGACACGAAAAAACAGCCATTGACACGGAGGAGAGTCAGGAGGATATCTCTACTGACAGAGAAAATCAGAAAGCTTCAAAACAAACATGCTCAAGAGGACCTGCAACTGCGAAGAAAACTTCAAAGAAGTCGAAGGATAATGAGACAACGTCGAACGCTCGCGCAACGAGGATCATCTCTCAAATGACTGCTCTTCACGGTCCTGGCAAAAATATCCAAACTAAGGATATCAAGCAGGAACTTAGAAAAAACAAACTGAGTGGCGAGAAATCTAAAGCAACTGATAGTGTCGAAAAAGGAATTCGAAGCGATGGACGATCCAGGACTAGAGTTACCAAAACAGATAGAGGTCCTGCAGAGGAGGTCGAATGTACCACAACAACGACAACGACGAAGAGCTCGAGCAAAACCTCCTCACGAAGACCACTGAAAAAAATACGTCGAATTGAAACCGAGTCTGAGACTGAGACAGAACGTGAAATTATAGCCAAGGCTGGATTCGAAGATGGGTATAACAATTTTACTTTATTGTAATATAATTTTCCTAATATTATTTATTGTAATTATTTATAATATAATAATTTATAATATAATTGTTTAATTTTTTTTTAATTTTAATAAATATATATTTTAGTAAATATTACGTAAATAAGAGAATTTGTCTAAATTTTTTTTTTAATTTCAGACACGCAAGATCGAGCATTAAGAACGACAATACGATTCGCGAGACAATCATTCGGACAGCAAGCAGAGAAAGAAAATCGGAAGTGCCGTTCTCCGAACATTCCTCTGAGAGGAAAGTATCATCGAGAGCACTCAGTATGGATCGCATCAGGGCATATGTATTGCGTAAATTTGCGAGCACCGCGAGTTTGGAAGTTCTGCGATCGCCTACATACGTGGAGCAAGTGCAGGAAGTGATCGATCGCGCGGCGCCGATTATCAAGGAGAAACTAGAAGAAATCGGAAGACCATGGGGAAAACGTTCGAGATCTGTCGACCTCGCTTGGAACGAGAAATCGCTTCATCAGCACGTTCGAGAAGAAAAGAGACATGGCGATGAAAAAAAAAGTGGAAGAGGAAAGAGCGGAAATGGGATGGAGCGAAAAGCTGATATCATGAAAAATGAAGAAATAGAAGATTCTCTTGGAAAAGAAGAAATTTCAATCATGGAGAAGAAATCGAGGAGGCGCAGCATAGGATCGGGCAAAAAATCAAAAAGATGTGAAAGTGGTGACTTCAGGATCGTCGATGAAGTCGACGACAACTCGAAGCACAGTAATAAATTGGAGCATGAGTCTAATGCGACGCACGATACCTTAGAAGCGAGATTAACTGCCACTCAGAGTATCTTGGAAGATATCTCAAAATCAACATCCGAGTTGGGTGCTCGCAGAAATGATCCTGGCGGAAATGAACCATCGGAATCAGAAGTCTCCGATCACATCATTTCTCTGCCTGTCGTAAGACCGCCATCTTCTAGAAACTCCAAGAGCGCAACCAAAAACGGTTCGGATTGTCTGACGTTGCCGCCTATCTCACCGGAAGCTCCTAAATCGACAAAGAAAAAAAACGAGTTGTCCTTACCAGTTCTGACAGCAGTAAACAATGGCAATTATTCCGCCAGGAAATCACAAGAGCAAAATGTTTCAAAGGACGCAGAGGAAGCTTCAACGATGTATGACATTACAAGCGATATAGAGGATATAGCAGGTTTTCCTGAAAATAATGAAGATGCGATCGATATAAAGCAGGAACCTAACAGTAATCATCAGGATTTGTTAATATCGGACGTAAAATTTATCAATGAAAAAGGATGTGAAAAGAACGAAGATGTAGACAAAATTTTTGATAAGAAATACGAAAGTCTCGAGGAGTTTGAGGAATTAGAGAAATTGGAAGAAGGCAGAAAGTCGGAGGAAATCTTCATAGATAGTTTAAATGTTACACCGGAAGTAGCTGACGTACCACTAAGACCAGACTCGTTGGAACCTGATGAAGAGGTTAAACTTGAAGATGATTATGCGGATCCTGCACAAGAGAATGCTTTCGATAGGTTGAAAGATAAATTGATTGAGATCGAAATGGCGGAACGCAGTATTGAAAAAGCGTTGGCTTGCCAGGTTGCGACGTGTGACATTAGCGAAATGACGAGCCAAGCGGAAAAGTCGGTAACTGATGGAAAGATAAATGAAGCAGGAGAGCCGACTAATGAGGCGGAAGAAACTGTGAATGAGATACGAAAGTCTATGGACGCGGCAAAAATACCAATAAATAATAAAGATGATGAGGAAAGGAAAAAGAATATTGATGATGAAGAAAGAAAATCGATAAATGATATAGAAAAGATAAAAGATGTAGCAGAAATATCAAATAAAACAGAAGATTTAAATATAAAAGATAAATTAACAAATGAACCAGAAAAAATAGAAAGTGAAATAAAGGAATCGACTAATAAAACGGAAAATTTAATAAATAAATTAGAAGCAAATGGAATTAAAAAGTTGATGGAGGAAAATGAAGCACAAAGTTTGAAAAATACAGTAAGAATATCAAAGAACGAAGCAGAAAAGATAATTAACCAAACGGAGATAAAGGTAGCAGAAAATACGACGAAAGCACAAGATGAGAGATCGATAGATAAAACTGAAAAATTGAATAAAAAATTATCAAATGGCGTAGAAGAATCAGTTAAGATTCATGTAAAAAATGTGCAATCCATAAACGCAAGATCGCTAGATAAAGATTCTCAGATTACTGAAGTAGTCGAAACAGACGATAATAATACAACGACATCAGAAACAAAATCTGAAAATGCGACGAATGAATTTTCTCAAAGCACAACTTCTGAAAATACTGCGACCACGAGCGAAAGCTCGATAACGAATCTTCCCAATAAGAATAGTCAAATGAAAGCACGGAAGAAACGCGAAAGCGATAAATTACCAATGATAACGCCGCTTTCTTTAGAACTCCCGTATTCTTACGTTCTTAGCGAAGGTTCCCCTTGTGAGATTCCTGATTCCGTGACGACTGTGATTATTCCGGACAAGTTGTATCTTTCTCCCGTTACTCTGAAGGACGAGGATTATCAGCTTGAATCGACAAATCAAAAAGAGAAATCACTTACACATTTCAATACGGAGATTTCCAAAGACGAAAGGCAGGATAAGGATCAGCAAGGATATGACATGGAAATTTTTGGGGAATATATTCGACCAGAAGCCACCATTCTGTCCATTGATACTGATTTTGTACGTAGCGTGAAAGAAATAAAATCGAGTCAAGACATAGTGATCGTCCATCAGGACTTGAATAAAATTAAAGAAGAAGGTGAAGAAGAAGTTGTAAAAGAAGATGATGAACGAAAAAAAACAGAGAGCCATCAAGAAAAGGAAAATGATAAAGAAAAAAATGTAAAAGAGGAAGAAATGACAAAGCTTGCGACACTGGAAAATATCATGGAGCACGAAGAAACTAATATAAAGACGATTGAATCCAAAGATACTGAGGAAATTTCTTCTGGCGTTCTTGAATATGAATCTTTATCTGATATCAAAGATTTAATGATTGATACTGTTTTGACAAACGAAGGAACAGCAGAGTTCGCAACTGAATCCAAAAGCCTATTGGAAAATTCATCGGAAGAAAACGGAAATACGCAGAATACCCACTCGACTACGAGTGACATTAAGGAAAGCACTACGAGCAATCAATCGATTGAGAGTCCAAGTCCGGACAGACCAGTAGTACCAGAATTAAATCTGGATTCACTTCAGGATAACACGGTGTCATCTTTCAAGATAAACGAAATAGAGAAGGAAGACAGAGAAAGCGACACTACGATCTCCTTGGTCGAGCCATTGATTTCGGATGAGAGGTTAATGAATCGGTTGGCCGATCATGAAAAAATTATTACTGAAGGATTGACAGAGAGAGGTTTGCAGTCAGAGATTCCAGAGGCTGATCAATTGTATCATGCAGAACATATGGAGTACAAATGGTTGAAGAAGGATCCGTTATCTACGGAAATGAACTTGGAAGATGAAACGAAATCTCAAGAGAAAAATATTGATTTGAAGACGACTTTACCGGAAGACGCTATACAAGTCAATTTGGTTTCACAAGAAAAAGCGGAGACAGAGGAATTAGGAAGCGAGGAAGAAATCGCGAGAGAATTGATAGATTTATTGAATAAAGATATACAATTTCGCGCTGAAGAATTGAATTTGAAAAAAGAATCTATAGATAATGGAGAATCTGAGAAAAGTAATTTAGAAATAGATGAATCCAATCAACCGTTGTCAACATCTATGTATTCGATATTAACTGAACAAGAAAAGAAGGAATATGAAGATTCTTTTCATGAAACACATGAAATAGTAAGGACTGAAATGATTAGTGAATTATCAGATGACATAACGGATATCAGTCAAGATAAAGATAAAAACAATGCGATAATAGGTAATGAATCTGAAAAAATTAAATTAGAAATGATAAAAAAAGCACATATAGAGGAGTCGCATATTGCACCTTTAGCACAATTTGAACAAGATGAAATATTGGAAGACAATAGTAATTCTGAGATAGCTAATGAAAATATTACAGTTAAAAGTAAACTTGATAATATTAATGCTGATCATATCAATATTCAGGAAAAACTTGAAGACAAACAAACGAGTATGGATGTTCCAGATAGCCAAAGTAGCGACAGTGAAATTAAAAAACCGAAAGCAGAAAATATAAAGCAGGAAGAAAATGAACAAAAAGAGTTACAAAGTCAGAATAAACATGAACAAGAAAAATTAGATGTTGAAGAAGAAATCGATCAAGAAAAATTAAAAATTCAAAGTAAAGATGATCAAGAAAATATAAAGATAGAGGAAAAAATTGTAAATATGACATCTCCTTTAGAAATAGTAGAATCAAGGAAAGATTCAATAAATGAATCGATGAAAAATGACGATGGAAATGAGGACATTAAATCAAATAATAAATCTATTATTGACGACGATCAAACAGGAAAAGATATGGAAAATGAGAAGGAAGAGAAAAGTGAAGACCTTTCAGAGAAGGTAGAGAGCGTCCATGGACCAATTATGAGCGCAATATCAGAACAATCGACAGAAAATCATTCTCGCTTTGGATATTGGACTATGGAAACGAAATCATCGACTGTGGAAACAGTAATTGAAGCTTCAGATTCTAATGCGAGTACAGAGAAGATTGTTGCTGATGAGTCAGAAATCATCGCGGACGAATCGCTTATTCAGAAAAAAGACTTAGCAGCAGTTGTAAAAATTCAAGCTTGTAAGTAAAATGCAGCATTTTGATAAAATTATGTTGTGGTTCTTCAATTATGCTGCGTTAGCAGTATAAATAACTGACCACCGACTTTCTTATCTTTTATTACGCTTAAATAATATAACAAGGTCATAAGTTCACGAATATAAATAACATTGCAGTGTCATTAATTTTATTGAGATTAGAAAGTGGAATAATGCTATTTTGAGACATTTATCATATTATTTAATGAATAATAAGAAAGAGAGAGAGAGAGAGAGAGAGAGAGAGAGAGAGAGAGAGAGAGAATAACGAAAATTATTTTTTCAAGGTATCCGAGGATTTTTAACGCGTCGTCGCATGCGAAGAAATACGAGCTTAGAATTTCCTTCTAATCTTCCATCGACGCAGAAGATTACGGTAAATATAATTTTTATAATAATTTTAAGCCTTGATCCCTCAAAAAAGTAGTTATGGATTAATTATGGATTAATATTTCAAGGATAAAACAATACTAATTTATAACATAATAAAGCGTTACGATTACATAATTGTATAAAAAAATTAATTTCTGTTTGTTCATGTTACATAAAAATTAATAAAAATTGTATAACGATCTACTGGACCTAATAAAATAAAATCTTTTCTAAATTTTGTTATTGCATTCTTTATAAACGATTTTGCACATAGTTATTTAATGTGTTGAAATTGATCTTGGAATTGAGTCCATCAGTTTTCCTCTGTTTTGCCGAGCAGAACAGCTGGACGCAATATTTCGCACGCCACGCCCGTCGGAAGTTTATTATGTAAAAGAGGAAGCGGTGGGTCACTGCTAAACGTCAGCGCTTTCATGATTGCAACAGGCGGTTTGGCAGTAACTAGCTTGGCAAATAGACCCGAGTTTTCCCTTAAAATAATTGTTTCTTAAACAGAATTGACGTCCATGGAATTGATGTCTTATGAATTGTTTTTGTTACATTTCCTTTCATGTCTCAAAATAAAATTTATTAACAGTAATCAATTATTTGTTAATTTTTCTATAATAATCTAACAAGTATTTTTCTTTAATAGTAATTAAATAACTAATCAATTGACATACTTTCCTTTTTCTAAATAAAAATCAGATGTAATTGAACTTTATGGTAATGTTTAGAGCGATCATCTGATACCGCAGGATACTTCGAATTTGCGAGAAGCCAGACGTCTTCGACGAGAAGAAGCTCTGCGCAATACAACACTCTCGTTAGAGAATGCCTTTGCAACAGGTCGACTTCAACATACAGGCGAATTTCACGATTCTATGCCGTTGCTTCCTTTCGATCTGCTAAATAGTAAAACTGATTCAGTCACCTCAAACGATTCTTTGGCTGAAGAAGTTGATATTAAAGAAGATAATATATCTGATAATGCAAAATCTAGTGCCAATGAAAGTGATACCGTGTAAGTAATAATTCGTAAAAGAAATGAAGAATGCATCAATTAAAGTACATAATATTCTTAGAATGTTATTTATTAAAAATTAAAATAGTATTATTATAATCTTTTAAAAATATTATATAATATTTTTAACGTTATGGAAGTATTCTATTGATATTATATATCTTCATATAATATCTTAGTTATTATTCCTTTAATATCCGTGGAATATCATTAAAATATTTATTAATATTAATTATT